AAACTTTACCATCAAGTGAAACGCGCTGGGATCGGTCAGATAGGTATGACCTAAACCAACGCAGTGCAGTATCCCTTATCCCAAAACTGTTACTTAAACGAGATAAAAGGACCGAGTGCTCAACCGTATCAAAGGCGGCGCTGAGGTCAAGAAGCACTAGCAATATCACGTGTTGGCGATCCATAGCCATAAGGATGTCGTTGTGTATTTTAAGCAATGCAGTCTCGGTGCTGTAACCTCTTCTGTATGCTGACTGAAGCTTCAAGTAGAGATCATGAGTGGTCAGATGGATACGAACCTGATCAAATACAGCGCGCTCAGTAAGTTTTGAGACATAATTTATTGTAAATTCATTTATCTGAAGAGAGACGAAAAGAACATTTTCTAGAAATTTTGAGTTCATTATTATCTTCACTTAAATGAGGGTCTCAGTGGAATGATGGCTTAAAGCGACTAACAGTTCAATTTTTCCACTTTACCGTCGTATAATGGTTAATTTCTTTAATTCCGTTACAGTTAACAGAAACGATAAAATACAATTTATAATTGATTAATTCAGTTTTATTGTGCTAAAACGCAATTCAATCACTCATTTTAACCATTGGAGTCAAGCAAGAAAGGTAATTCTAAATCGAGCTGCCGCTGGATTCATATACAGTAATTTTCTGTTTTTCCGCTGATTTTCACAAGGCAGTAGAGCTTCAAGTCTAGCTAATGATCCTAACCTGATGGTAATAATGAGTTTGTTAATAACATCTCTACAGACTAGCTCTAACTGTACATCTACCACTTGAGATTAAACAATAAGAATAAAATGAAAAGAAAAATGATTGTTAAATACTACTTTACAACTATGATATCAGACATTCCATTTCAATTTATCAAATTAACATAATTTACAACATAGCTTTCCCAAGACACTATCACGAGTTCTAATTGCCGTAGAAACTGAACTGTTTCATGTCAACTTCACGATCATAACGAGGAAAACGTGACCAAACTCTACCTTTAAGATAAGACTTCCAAAAGGAATAAGTATTCAATCTGCCTTTTTATAATTTTTTGTATCAAATGGTTGAAATTAATATAGTATTTCCATTCCTTTCCCTGACACTAATATAAGGAAACCCTTACAATATTTCAGATTAAATAAAGTTGTATTTTTATCACTTAATCGTTTAAAAGAATATATGAAAATCGTAAATGTGAACTGCGGTTAAGAAGTCAGTATCAAGGCAATATTTTCACTAGTGGTCAAGTAGTTTTCATTTCTGCGAAGATCACTTTGACATAAATATCAAAGTAATAGTAATTATCCCCCACTTTCAATGGCACTGAGGTGAGTAATTGTTTATAAGTACATCCCACATAGATGCAAAAAAACTAGTACAATTCTTACAATATACCCAAAAATGGTCGGATTCACTTCCAAACTAGGCAATCAGCTTGCCTTCTAAAAGCACTATTCAAGTATGCAGTATGTACTAATTGTTTATATAATCCAAATTATGGCTCTATTCAGCAGCATACACAGGTAGGTGTGATGTTTGATTAGACATGAAAGCAAGATGTTTATTATTCACAATGATTTTAATCAACAGTTGAAACATGTGGACGCCAGGATGGTATTTCTCTTAGAATCTATCCCATAATTCCAACCGAACAATACAGTAGGTATATGTCATGTGTGTCTGCTTTAATTTGTTTTAATGTTCCTTTTTAATGTAACATTTAACTTTTAATTCCCTCCCACTCTAAACTGCCTAAAAAATAGATAAATTTTATGCCTTAATTCAATATGGGAAGATAATTTAATTTAAATGTCTGAAAGGGCCCATTGATTTTGACGTCCTATCATATGTTAGCTTCAAATCATATAAGAATGATATGAGGAATACAGAAGCCATACTTGCCAAGGGTAGTTTTAGAACCAATGCTTTAAAATTCTCCTTTTTTAATCGCATTGTGAATTTGATGGAATGGCCTGCCTGTAACTACTAGGATAATTTATCGATTATCATTGTTTAGCAAGAAAGTGAATCAGTTTTATATCAGTAAATTTAACTAAGTGAGGATAAATTTATATAATAGTTTTTGATTACTTATTGTAGTTGCTATTTGTCTATGTTAGTTTTTCATGATTTTGTATTTTATCACAGGCAGTTTATTTGAAATAAGGAATCTAGAACTCTGTGTAACTGGCCTAATTACTCGAATATCTCTTTTTTATACTTGTATATATTTATATTTAATTCCCTGTTTTTGTTTTTGCTTTGATTTTCTGTGTAATTGAATTTGAGTACATAAATAAATAAATAAAATAAATACGGAAATGTCTGAACATGAGTCTTGCAAAGAGTGCTCTTTCCAGAGTTAACACTGAGAATATGATTTAGGTAAGCAGGTATCAATAAACTATTTATAGTCGTATGATTCTTATTGCTCTCAGTGTTTTAGATGTAACTCGCTGAAGATAAATTGGGCCATATTTCTTAGCAGTTTTTTTTTTAATTTCCTCATCTAAGTTTTGGTATTTACTGTTTAAAAATTGATAATTGATATTACTTTTTCATCCTTGTTTAGAGGTATTACATTTGTACATATTTAAAACCTGAATTATGAAGTCAACTTAGTTACAATGATGATTTGGTTTTATCAACTAAGTTGAAACTGTAAACTGGCCACTGTTTAGTCAAAATCATAAGGACGTGACATTTTTTCTTTGTTTTATATATTGTTGTACATATTTTATTCTATCACCCCATACATAGTGGCACACTTGATCTCATCTCACCTCGGTTCGCACAGAATGTGAATGGTATTTCGTCCTGATATTCCTTTAGTTATTCTTTATGCTTATTTCGTCA